CAATTGCAATTCTTTAAGGACTAAAATTACCCAATTAAAATCTTGTGGATCAAAACTGCACAATTGTAATACTTGAGGGATAAAAAATGCAACTAAACCAATATTCTTTATTAATTTTATTAAAAAATATAATAATTTTGAAAAATATTTTTTTATGGTAAAAATTTTAAAGTTACTTATTTTTATAAAATACAATTGTCTTATAAATAGAGTAATAATTTTTTCTTTTTCTCTTTCTGTTTGAAGAAATATTTAAGTATCACTTTATAAATTTTTGCAACTTATTTAAAATTAGAGGAATAAAATGATAAAGATTAATAAGATAAACATAATAAAATAAAATATAAAAAAAATATTAGTATATATTTATTTTATTAGATATAACAACATAATTAAAATATAATTAATAATATATATTTTATAAAATTATTAATATTTTATATATAAAAAAAAAAGATGAAACCGGAACGGCCCCGTTTCGGTTTCAGAACGGGCCGTTCTGGGTCTAGGTGTTTTAAAAAAATTGTCATCCACGTGATATCCACGTATGCATCTACATTGCATCCACGTATGCATCTACGTGGCCAAAAGTTAACTCCGTTTAAATAATTTGGACGAAAGACCCACATTGAAACCAATTAATTAATTTGGGACTAAATTGAAACCAATTAATTAGTTTAGGACCAAATTAAAACAAAAAATAAAAGTGGGACTAAATTAAAATAAACAATTAATATAAGAAACCAAAATAGGGTTTTAACCTGAAAAATAAAAATAAAAAAATTTAGCTAAAAAAATAAAAAAGAAAGAGAGAGAGAAAGAAGAGAATGACGTGTATCTTACGCGCTAGAGTTGAATTGAGGTTTGTCGATATTCCCTTTACACCTTACTACCTTAATTAACCTTTGTTGCTTTATCGTACTGTTTGGGAAGAAAAGAAGCGAAATAAAAAACTGATGGATGATGCTTCGATGCATTTCCATAATCTCAGCCACTAAAAGTCAACGCCCTCGGTGGTGGTCCCACTGCTTTTTTATTGCTTCATTTCTTCCTTAGTGCTCTCTCCGCGTGTTCATCTCATTGACTGCGTCACCATCGGCGCACTTTTTGCTAGCTTGCGCCCACCTTTTTCACATGTTGCTTTCCATCCCATGCGCTCAACCCTATTTTAATCTTCCTGAGCTCCCCTTTATAAGTTTCTGTTCTCTATCCCCTTTTTCCTTCTTAAAAATGAACCAAATACATTCACTCAAAGATTATAGGTTAAAATATTAATTCCCATAAAGGTTTAACATTTAATGTAAATATTTTTTTATATTTTATTATTAGTATTAAATACTTATTAATTATAAGATTTGAATGTAAGAACTTATTTTAATTTTATTTTTTTTAAATAAATAAATTAAGATAAGATATAATTTTATATATGATCTAAAATATTTATTTTTTATACAAATTTGTATAAAACGATATTAAATATAAGAGACAATATTTATTTATAAACATATTGTACTATCTGCGTCAAGGAGCCGAGTTTGAGCTCGGTACTGAAACACTAAACAACATCGAATAAACGCTACGTAACATCGGCCAAAGTAGTGGCACTATATATCGAGTCGAGACCAATCTCAGGCCCAGAACAACACTACCCTCGTCTAAGAGGAAAATCCTAATTCACATCAAGGTACGTGCACTATATATATAAGACGATTACACTATCAAAGACTAACTTTAGTATCAGGGTCTCTTTTGCAGGTATCACTCCCGTTTCGGAACAATCGGCGTACCCAACAAGAAAGACTCACCAATCTTGTCCCGTAGATCGTCCCTCACGACCATCTCCGGTAAGAACACATATAATAATTATTATTATAAAAATTAACAAATTTAATATGACTTATTTATGTGATAAAATAATATTTTATATAAATAATTTTTTATTACTGCATGATGAAAAAAGTTGATTTTGCAAAATGGGTGGTTGAAAGAAAAGTGGGGTGGACACGTGTTGTTAGTTAGAAGGAGGAGTAGGGGAAGAAGAATGGGAGTGGCAGCATTGAATGATTGGCGGGTGCATAGAGGAGAGAATAATAAAAAGGGGTATTTGGTGAGAATCGCAAAACGCCACCCTCTTCTGTCTCTCCCACCTTCACCTTTTCTCTTACTCACCCTACGTCACTCTTTCACTTCTTATCATTCCCAATTCCTCAACGCCCACACCACTTTCTTTTCTTCTCTCTTCAAACAAATAAAAAGTAAAAATAAAAAAGCTTAGTTATTCTTCTCTTCCAAACCAAACCATGGAGGGTCTTCCCCAAGGTTACCGTCCCAACGTTGGTGTCTGTCTCATCAACTCCGATGATCAGGTTTCTCTTCATTTTTATTTTATTTTATTCTCCTTTGCCAAAATATTAATGCACTCCCTGTGTGTGTTTTGGTTGTTTTAATTTTTTTTTTAAAAATAAAAACAGTATATGTGATATATTAGTCTCCCAAATGGATCTCTGTAACTCCAAGCTTTATATATGTAAAAAAAAATTGTTTTTTTTCTTAATTATGGGAGACAATTATTTGTTACTGATCTTAATTCGTGTAATGTTCAGGTGGGGTTGCTTTTTATTTTTCTGGATTTTATGCTACTTAAAGCTGCATATTTTAACGGTTAAAGAGCTGGATTTTTTTTTTCTTCCATTTTCTGATGTTAATTTGTCTCTTTTTAAAAAAGATTGATTCTTCTTTAGCTGTCATACAAGGTTGTTGTATCTAAATTAATTCTTCACCCACCATAAAGTTGGACTCAACTTGAACAAATGTGTAAATAATAGCTAGAGAAAAACACTCCCTGGTTGATTTTTTTTTTCTTTAAAGCAACGTGTTTTTCGTTTTCCAGATTTGGAAAATTGGAGTTATTACTGGGCTGAACTTAGATCCACGCTCTTTTTCTGTTTTTATTCAAAACCGTTGCCGTGATTCATTTTTAAATGATCCAAAATGTTGTATAATGCATAGTAGCGAACTGGTATTTTGGAAATTGGATATGATATTCTCTGGTTTTTATATTTTATTTATTTATTTTTGGGTGCATTTTAGAGATTTTACCTTTCTGTCCAATGATTTGTTCAGTGTTTATATTCTATAATTTAACATGTTTCATGAATTGGAGAAGAGTTTCCTTTCAAGGCATAGTACTGTCCTTTTGGTACATGATGGTTATATATATGTGTGAACAAGGGTAAGATGGTAAACCGTGATTTTAATTTTGTTTTTCAGATTTTTGTGGCTTCTAGGTTGAATGTCCCAGGAGCATGGCAAATGCCTCAGGTGAGCTCACATTATGTACCATAATACACCTTTACCTTACAATTTTTTTTTCTTAACATGAATTCAAGTGACTTATGTAACTTAAAGCAAAGAGAACTTTTTGTGAGAAAGCATTTTAAGTGCAGAACTTGATTCACTAGGGTGGGTATAGTGGTGGAGTTTGGGGTAGATCACTAATTGCATAAGAAATTAGGTTCAATCTTCATTGCCATCATTGTATATCAAAAAGAAATTGTACAGGACCTTATTTTTGGGGAGCATCATGTAGTATTCCTTGGCATATTCAACAGTTAGGGGATGTTGTTTTTTTAGCAGATGAATGTTGCAAGCAATCATTACTGTTTCCTTGGTGGTGAGAGCTAGCAAATACTTTTCATTAACATCCTATCCTGATCTCTCTCCTGTTGATGTTGACATCATAGCCATGGTTACATTGCCAAAGACACTGTTGTATCACATTAACATATCTCCTTATCATAAGGAATCTTTCTATATGTGCCGTCATATTGATTACTTAAAGTTATTTAAATGCATTGATTACCACTTACCACATGTTTTCTGAGACAAAAAATTCCTTTTGTATATGGGTTCATTTTGGCTATACTGTATACTGGGCAGTCTTGCTTCTGGGAAGAAACTATGCCGTTTTTGATATATAATTTAAGTGGATAAAGGAGAGGAAAAGAGAAAAGGGAGGCTTTAAATAATATTTTGAATTACTTATATTAGCTTGATATGGTGTTCTTCAAATCATTAATCCGATGCTCTGTTCTGATTAATACTAATAATTACTTCGTGAGTACTGGTACTGTAAACCCAGCCCAATAAGGTTAATAACTTAATTTCCCCAATACAGTTACAATTATAATGTATAGACTGTTTTGGTGCTTTGCACTGGAGTTCTAACTCATTGTAAAAATGGATTCTTTGTAAACTGGTTATCTTTACAGAATTATTAAAAAGCATTCCCCTTCTTTTGCATGTAATAAGTAAATTATTTTATATAACTTTATGGTTTTAAAATTTTATGCTATAATTGACTGTTCTTTTGGGGTTCTCAGGGGGGAATTGAAGATGGTGAAGAGCCCAAATCCGCTGCCATTAGGGAACTTCGAGAAGAAACTGGAATAGTATCTGCTGAGATAGTTGCTGAGGTTTGCACAAAATCTTTCTCATTTGGATTTAGTTTCTTCTGCAAAAACAGAAATTGCGATGTTTATCTATAGATCAGTTATATCTTACTGCGTTGAATTAATTGAGTTCAAAGTAGTTTTACCATTGTGTAATAATATGAACAAAGCTTGAAACAGAAACACCCGGAGTTGGATTCAAGGGAAGCATTTATACATCTATGACTTGATACATTTACAATAAAAACTCTTTGATCATTTTGATTACTGGGTTCATGTTATTGTTAATATTTTTTTCATACATCTGACCTAGCTTGTGCGTTACAGGTTCAGAAATGGTTGACATATGACTTCCCTCCTGCTGTGAAAGCTAAAGTCAATCGACTATGGGGAGGTGAATGGCATGGACAGGCGCAAAAGTGGTGTGCATTTTATTTTATTTCAGCTGCTTGACAGAGCCATGAACTTGACAGTTCAATGCTCACTTCTGAAAAAATTATCTCTTATCTAAAATTTAGTGGCTTATCTCTACTGAAAATTGTGACCACCCAACCAGGTGAAACATGAATGAAATTAAGTCAGTTTGGTCCATAATGCTTGTTAAGACGTTTGAAATAGTTTGTAAGCACATGAAACATTAATTTTGAAACTGGAAGCAGCGTGAGAGTGTCCAAAGAAGCCCTGTACAACTTACATGGGTGCTAAAATATTAGCTTGGCAGTATAGAAAGCAAGATGGATGGATGGTCTGCTTGACTTTGTAAAATGAAAAGAAAAAGACAGATTGATAAGTAAAATCTGAATTTGATGCGTGAAAGTTTAAAACTTGATTTTTTTTTCTTTAGATGAAGCAGATGTAAGCAACTGTAAAAGGGAATAGTCTTCAACAATGAACACAAAGAAAGCTGAGAAAAGGCAAAAATGAAAAGAATGAGTGAGTGTAGAGAGACAGGAAAACCTAGTCCTAGAGTACTAGTATATGGTGTGATCCTTTTTCTAGTAAAATTTGCTGTTTGTGGTTTGTGTGTATTTGCTATTTGTGTGAGTGATAGTTGCAGGTTTAGTGCCAGTCTTGTCAATTGTGTGCTTTAATGTAGATAGGAGAAACCGTCCACTTTTCCCAATAGTATTTTCACTACTCTAGATGGATATCCAGTTTACTTGTGACGTGCCAAAATATGGATAGCATGGAAATGGATAGTGTCCCAAACTTACTACTTTTCAGTAGTGAGAATGAGGAATGTCTTGATTATCCAGTTATGTGATTGTACTGTTAGCAATGCCTGTACTTTCTATTGTTTCTTTTTTAAGTGTTTTTATGTGTATATTCTACCAAAATTGTGCTTCTTCTGACTTTGATTATGAACATTTGTAGGTTTCTTATGAGATTAACAAAAGATGACAGTGAGGTCAACTTAGCCAATGGGGAAGCAGAACCTGAATTTGCAGAATGGAAATGGGCAGACCCTGAAGAAGTTATTGAGCAGGTTAGTTGGGCAAAAAAATAGGAGATTTGTAATAGTTGAAAATTTTCTCCATTTGAAAGACTAATCAATGATAACTGATCACAGGCAGTGGACTACAAGAGACCAACCTATGAAGAAGTTATAAGAACCTTCAAGCCTTACTTTCAAGGGAGTTCAATATCTGCCAAATGTAAATCAACAAAGTGGTGATTATTATGAGTGTGTATTGTAGTTCAATCCATTTTCTTATCTAATTTCACTGAGATTGGATAGCACTCAGCTATTTGTAAAGGGATGATAGTTAGAACTGTCCATTAGGTACTTGCCTTCTTGTAATAATAAGCTATGTGCAAATGCCTAATTTCTCTTCTAAGACTTTGCTGCAAGGATGATTGTGGAAGTGTATAGAACTGTTTAATAAAGTAGGAAGCATCGTGCAGCAGAATAGTGATCATGACTTAGTGCCAAAGTACCAGGAGCGGTTTCTACGAGACACTATAATAGTTTCTACTTTCTATGATAATCTTTTCCCGTATACAAGATTTGGTTATGGCGCAAGCTTATACTGGTTAGGTTAGTTTTAGTTTTAGATTGTTTTAGTGCTATGAAGCACTAATACTTTAATTGGTTTCATGTGTCCGGATATTGATATTCTGGGATACATATACTTGATACTTCACTGATATGTATAGGTAAAGTCCGGTCTTAAAAGAATTATGAAAATTTAGGCCATTGCTACTTTGAAAAGTTTAAATTCGGAAGTTTTGGTGCCTTCTTCACGATAGTCAACTAAAGCGTGACATGTGTTCTAATAATCCACGTTAGACGGTTAGCCCATAATTAGTTTAGGTTAAAATATTTGTGTACTTCCGATAGTTTCACTTTTTTTTAGTCTTCATTTCAAATATATATTTTTAGTGTCTGTTTTTTTTCAATTATTTTAGTCATTATAGTTTAAGATAGATTTTTAAAATTTTTATGCTTGTAATTTTTAATTATTTTAGTCTATGTTGTTAATTTTTTTGTAATGTGTTATCTTTTATATTGACGTGATATAAATATTAATTTAATTTTATGTCTTATGTCAAATGTATTTTGTTAGTTATTTTAAATTAGGCCTCCCAATGATTGTTAAGATACTTTTTTATATTCTAACAAAATTGAAAACCTACCATTTTAACACAAAAAACATGTTAAAAAAAAATCAAAATAAAGACAAGATTTTAAAAAAATTTGCAAGTATAAAAACTAAAAAGGTTTATTTAGGTCTACCAAGACTAAAAAAGATTGAAAAAAATAAGTCTAGGATTAAAAAAGTTTATTTTAAATTATAGAGATTAAAAAGTAAATAAGATAAAATTATAGGGACTAAAAAATTATTTTAGTCATTAATTTAAACTCGTTGAATTATACTAGTACATTAGGAATTTATTTGCAAATTTTAAGTCTTCATTTTATTTACCATACAAGTTTTTATTTTACTAAAATTTCTATTTTCAACACATTTTCTCGATTTTGAAGTCGACACTATCAATGTGAGAAATCACTTATTTTCAAATTGAAAAACAATATTGTTGTTGAGACGTTGAATATCATTCTCAAAAGAGTATAATGGAATTAATAGGTGAATTTAGATACAGGATCCCTTGTATAAAAAGTCTTCTAAAAAATAAGGACATAGGAAAAGAGTTTTCTTAGTAACATGGAAGGTTATGATGTGTCTTGTTATCATAAGTTAATGATGGAGCGATGGTGCAATACTTAAAACATGACTTAGATCCGTGGGCCATCATTGGATATACTCGTGGACTAGCTTTTGTTGCAAAGAGGGGGAGAGGGTTAAACTACGGTCCTTTCTTTGAAGGGGGGATTGTTGGGACACAGTTAAAGTCTCATGTCATTCAAACAAGATGATGGACGTGGTTTTACATACACTTAAAGTCTCCATTAGCAAGAAGCCTTTTGGGTGATGATCAAAAGCAAAATCACGAGAATTTGGCCTTAAAGTAGGCAATATCTTACCAATATAAAGATGTGTGTGTGGTACTCTCAATTATATATATATATATATATATATATATATATATATATATATATATAAGTTGCTTAAGTCAATTAAGTTGTGAAGTTGATGTGAGTGTACCTTATGCATGCTTTCCAAAGTCGAAAGTTGAATAAAATCTATATGAGAAAAATTGTTTTAAAAATTAAAATATTTCATTGTATTAATATAAGTTGTGGTGCTCTATGAGACTAAAGTTGAAACCCTTTAGTAAGTAAGTTGTCTCTCAGGAGGTTATTTTTTAAATTGTCTCCTCTAAGTTTTATATTGAAAATAGTATGGAGGATAGATCAAGTCATACTTGACATATGTGGCCAACGAGTAAGGCATAGGGTCACAATCCTTAGCTAAGTGTCAAAAAGGTGGGTGGTACTGAGAGGATAGGCAACAAAATAGTATCATTTAGGACTTAGTTGGTGCATACCAATGTTGTGGTAGACCCACACCCAATTAGTATTTACCCGGTGGTTGTAATGAACCTTCTTAGTGTAAAGTAGCAAAACTTGAGGAGCCAAATTAAGTTGTTAATTAGGTCACCATGCCTAAAATTGTTCTTTACTTAACCTAGAGATGACAGATTGGACGTTGTGGTTCAGTAGAGTTAAACCATTTAGATAATTCATTAAGTTGTAGGAGATCTCCAAAGTTAAATGTGTGGTAACACATAATGATGAAAACCTACTTCCCAAAAATCCCTTTAGAAAAGATAAGTCTAAGAAGGGTGAAGGTTGATAATGTTAGTTTGACGAATTGTAGGGCATTTACCCTTATTTTGTAAGGTACCCTACCTTTGGAGGCCTACTCTACCTTAGAGGGCTCCTAAAGTTGTTATACATTTTTCTTACTTGTAATTCCTTTTAGTAGTGATTGTATTAGAATATTTTTGGCCTTGTATTTTGGGTCAAGTAGTGTAGGTAACTTTGTCCTTGTATTATTTTTACTTAAAGTGTAATTAGTAGTTTAGGAGAGATGTAACTAGCTAAAGTCATGATAGGCTTATTAGGCTTGAATGACCCAAATATTTTTATGGCCCATAGGTTTGGAATCCACTTGCTTATGCAAATGGTTTGAATGTCTAAACCAAACCAAGCTTGCCATCCAAGTAACAAATTAAGTTACATGGCTTTGATAGTGACATCTCAACAACTTGCTAAAAGTAATCATTATTGTAGTAGTTGTAATGATTAGACTAGATAGTTGAAGTTAACTTAAGCTAACATAAGTTATTCTTAAACTAGGATTAGCTTAGCTTGTTCCATAAGTTTCTAAACAATTAACTAGACTTCTAGATATTTAACTAGATTTAATTAGCTTAAGTACAAAATAGTTAACCTTGGTTACATTTAACCCTAGTTAGTCTAACTTGTACCATAAGTCAACCAAACTCTATATAGTTTCTCCTTGTATATGGTTGATAACATTGATGCATATATTGAGATTTGGCAGAGATTTCCTCTCATAATCTCTCTCAAAATTTGTTTCTCTCTTTGAAATCCTTCATTTTCTCTTATCCTCTCTTGAGTGTGGTGATAAATTGAAGAAACTTATCACTCTTCAAGAGTGTGACATCATCCAAGAGAGTTTCTACCTTCTCTTGAGTGTTAAAAATGACTTTTAACATCAATGGAAGCCATTGAAGGATCTTGAGGGAGTTTAAGAAGTGAAAGATCCATCCAAAAATCTTGAAGGAGAAGCTACATCAATCTAGTCTCTCCTAAGATTTCCATCTCATAAGTTGTATAAGTTACTAAAGTTTCATAAGTTGTGTTAAGTTGTTTAGTTGTTCAAGTTGTGAAATTTGTTTAGTTGTTTTTGCCTAAGATAATTTAAGTTGAAGAATTGGGTTGACATGTTGGTAAGTTGTTTACAATTACTATGTTGAAATATTTGGAAGTTGTATTTGTTCTATTGATGTTAAGATGTTATAATTTGCAAGTAGAAGTTGAAATTGTTTGCATTTAAGCTTTACTATATATGTTAACTTTTATCATAAAAGTTTATGCTTATTTTTCATGTGTTGGAATGTAATGATCATACTTAATATGAAAGTAGTCAAGATTAACAAGAGGGTGAGCTTGGAAATTGATGGCCAGGTTTGTGATGGCTTTTGGTTAGAGTTGTTTTGATACACCATGTATATAGAATTTCTTGATCGACACTTACAATTTTCTTTTTCTTTTTGTCTTTGTTGGAGTTGTAGATATTTGTAAATATTTGTATATATATCAAGCTGATTGTAATCTCATAAAAGGCTTTATGTTTTCAATTATACAAACAAGAATTGTTTTTATGTTTTCTCGCACCATACTCATATACATAGGGTAGAAGCTTTATGTTTTTCGCTGCTTGAATGTTGTCGTGTTGTGCAAATTGTGGCAAATAGTCAAGTCGTTATAACAACCTTTTAAGCATACAACAACTAAGATAAAGAATGACCATAGTAAGTGATGCTTTAGGCAATATTGTTGTGTTTGGCCTCCAAATCCAAAATTATTATTGCATTCCAAAAGTAATTCTTTTTGGTTATTATCTCCTACCTAAAATTAAAATTTTTAGAATAGAAATTGACTTTTTTAAATGATAATTTTTTCCTCAAAAGAAATTCTTACATGATAGAGGACCATCCTCGGAACTTTATGTGGGACCAATCACTAGGTCCATGGCTAGGAGATTGAAAAATTTTACTATATATGTTAACTTTTATCATAAAAGTTTATGCTTATTTTTCATGTGTTGGAATGTAATGATCATACTTAATATGAAAGTAGTCAAGATTAACAAGAGGGTGAGCTTGGAAATTGATGGCCAGGTTTGTGATGGCTTTTGGTTAGAGTTGTTTTGATACACCATGTATATAGAATTTCTTGATCGACACTTACAATTTTCTTTTTCTTTTTGTCTTTGTTGGAGTTGTAGATATTTGTAAATATTTGTATATATATCAAGCTGATTGTAATCTCATAAAAGGCTTTATGTTTTCAATTATACAAACAAGAATTGTTTTTATGTTTTCTCGCACCATACTCATATACATAGGGTAGAAGCTTTATGTTTTTCGCTGCTTGAATGTTGTCGTGTTGTGCAAATTGTGGCAAATAGTCAAGTCGTTATAACAACCTTTTAAGCATACAACAACTAAGATAAAGAATGACCATAGTAAGTGATGCTTTAGGCAATATTGTTGTGTTTGGCCTCCAAATCCAAAATTATTATTGCATTCCAAAAGTAATTCTTTTTGGTTATTATCTCCTACCTAAAATTAAAATTTTTAGAATAGAAATTGACTTTTTTAAATGATAATTTTTTCCTCAAAAGAAATTCTTACATGATAGAGGACCATCCTCGGAACTTTATGTGGGACCAATCACTAGGTCCATGGCTAGGAGATTGAAAAATGATAGGGGAGCTAACACCCTTATAGACATGCTTCTTATGGCTATTAATCATTCTCCTAAGCCTTGTTAGCATTAAAT